TTTTCTTTAAAAACAAGCATGCAACCCTTGCTTTCCTTAGAAATTACGGATATTTTTTACTTTTTTGGAGATTTTATTGACTGATTAGTTAATTAAGAAGATAATACACAAGGTAAAGCTTTAAAATATTGTACATGCAGCCATACAGTCACAGTTTTATCAACTAGATTTTCAGTAAACTCTACAATTAAATAAGAATCACTTATACAAGAACTACTTTAGATATCATAAAACAGCTTAAACATTGCGTGCTATGTAGCAGCATAACAGCCACCAGGTCATGTGATTTTAAGAATGTGATTCTATATATAACTTGAATTTTATTCGTACATTTGGCCTGTTCTGCCCTCGTACAGCTCAGCACAACAGCGGGTGGGGCAGCAGCATATGGGCTGACTTAGTCTCTGCTACTCAAAGGTCCTGATCGGTGAAGACAAGTGTATTTACAGCGGACTTAGTGAGGCTGAGGTCATTTCACAATGGATTAACTGTGCCTGAATTCACCCGCTTACCCAATCCAACCCAAATCTGCTGAGCTTTCCCACGTTTCTGGATAACTTCTCATAGATACGATTGAACGGAGGCTTAGGTTTTCAAATATTGACTTCAAACCTGCCAGCTCACATGCGGTTTGCAGTTTCAGAAATCCTGAAGTGTATGTTTTTGCCTTGGACAAACCAACCTTTCCCCTGCTTATCTCTTTCCCTTAGACACACACACAGATTAGGGTCACTTGACTGAGCTGGTGTGACAGTCTGTTGATGTTTCAACCCGTGAAACACAAAATCCTCTGAGAGAGTCCTGACCCTCTGACAGCAAATAGAACAAAAAGTTTTACTACTTCAAGCTATGGGCAACTTTTTATGAGTATGTGTGTGATTCACTGAACCAGCTGGAAAAATCCAGGTGGGGATAATTACATGACTTCCTCCCTGCCTTTCCTTTCTAAACTCCAATCATAGCTGAACTACAAACACATTAAAATATTTTCATTCAGCCAGATTAATGTGCTGTTAGCCTTTTAAATAGCCACAAAACTTTAAACTTCAGGGTAAAAACTGCTCATAAAAAGAACATTATCTGGTATCAGTTTATCTTTGAAGTCTTTTTAAGCGAACATGTCAGCTCTAGCTTTCAGATATAAATATTTGTTGCTTTTTTTCTCAGTTTTCCATCATTAAACTCACTGAACTGTATCGGAAGTTGTGAATTTCTCAGCATTTTTAATCTAAATGACAGATTATGTATTCATCACGTGACTGCGTGATTAAAATAAATCTGAGCTGCCGTGTGTGCTCGCTCTTGTTTGCTTCTTTTATGCTCGTTTCTCATCAGCCTCCTGTACTTCCTCCTGTTTTCCTGTCCAGGTGTCAAAGCTTTGAAACTGCTTTGGCTTGTGCTTCTTCCAGGAAGTTTCACTCAGAGCAGAAACCAAATATATCCACAAGACGTACCTTTGATTATTTACTGGCATGAGACATAAAAGCACTGAGTGTATTTTGTTACAGTCAGACCAGCTGTGGCAGACCCAGAGTTTGTCTTCATATCCATCTATTTTCTTCACCACTTATACTGTTGGGAGTGTTTGTAAAACATGTTTTTACAGGGAGTTTCCTTGAAATCAAAAGAGGGCTGTTTGCACTGTTATCAGATTGTCTCGTCCACCCTCTCCATGTGATTTGCAACGTTTGCAAACTTGAGTCACATGCAGGCATCTTCTTTACTGTTTCTACACTGTGTTCACACTCAGAGACTTACCGGTAAGCTGAAAAAACTCTGTAGCCTGACATCTTCTGTGTAGGAGATTTATTGAGGGACTCAATAAGAAATCTGAGCTATAAGTGAGAATCAATATTGCCATTGATATTGAGGCATTATTAAAAGCATTTATGTCTAGTCTAAGAGCTCCACAGCATGTTCAGCCAAAATTAGTTTAATGGTTGGAATGGAACCACGAGGTGACTGTTTGTCGCAGGAAATCCTTCCTGCGGTCTTACAGAACACGCCGCTGTTTTTAGGTGATCTTGTGAATGCTAACTGTGATCATATGTCAGCGAGTCTTTGGGAAGCACAGAGGTCAGAAGACTCTTGTTTTTCTTCTAAATTTGTTTGCAGTTATGTCCTAAATAACAGCACAAAGACACCTCTTTGTGAGATGTTTCCTAACTTTGCATGAAAAACCTTACTGAGTACTCTGTTAGCATTTTAGCTATGATGGCACATGGATGGCACAGGGGTAAAAAAAGTGCTTAGTATTATGCTTGCTTCATGTCATTAAGCTCATTAAATGTATAAAACACTGACATGTGGATGCTTTCTGTATTAGTTCTTGCAGTAACAGCTTGTCCACCTTTATTTAGTTCTGGGAGGTGATCAGCGACGAGCACGGCATCGACCCGACGGGCACCTACCACGGAGACAGCGACCTGCAGCTGGACAGGATCAGCGTGTACTACAATGAAGCCACAGGTGAGTTCATCCCGACTACAGCGAGGTCTGTGTTTGATCAAATGAAAGAAGACATCTCCTCCCTGTGGAGACACCGGCTCACTGCAGCAGAGAAGCAGAAGATGCAGATAAAAATAAAGCAATGAAGCACTAATTGTTTGTTCGCTGGTTTCACATTGTTACAGGTGAGGATGTGTTATCTTCACCTGTTCTCATGATGACATTTATTAGGGGGGCATGTTGCCTTAAAATGCCAGAAACATTAAACAAGCATGCATTAAACAAAGGTCGTTTATCCTGAAAAACATTTGTACCAAACTCTGTTTGACACAGTGATAGTGGACTATGTCAGCCTTAATTATTCCCAGTCAGAGCCTCAAATGTAGCCCAGGAGCCAGAAGGAG